CGATCCCAGGACCCCGGGATCATGACCTGAGCCGAAGGCAGACGCTTAACCATCTGAGCCACCCAGGCGCCCGCTGTTTTGCTTTTGAAGATATAATGAACTCATATTCTAAGAAAGCCCTGTATATCAGACACTTTTACGAATGCTGGGCCAACTCATTGTTGGCCTATTTAACAAATGTATTTTTATTTAGGTGAAATATGTTCATACAGCAATTGGAGTTCTTAAAATAGCAATTAGATTTTATTATATCATATTTAATTTTTGTTAGAAAATTTGACAGGCTTTTCAAAGTTGGTTACCTGGGGAAGGGAGGATTTTTTAAAAAGATTTATTTATTTATTTAAGAGAGAGAGAGCAAGTGGGAGGAGGGGCAGAGGGAGAGGGAGAAGAGAGAATCTCAAACAGATTCCCCACTGAGTGCAGAGACTGACATGGGGCTTGATCCCACGACCCCACCATGACCTGAGCTGAATCAAGAGCTAGACACTCAACTGACTGAGCCACCCAGGGGCCCCTGGAAAGGAGGATTTTAGGTCAGTACACACAGGTCATGGACTGGGGCCTGTTGGCTGGATGCTGCTTTCAACCCCAGATCTGATTCTAGTTATCACTAAATAGTGATCACTAGGGGGTTAGAACCCTGGAAAAAGCACAAAGATAAAGAGAGTTTCTGGGATTCTCAGGAACTGACCACTCAGACTGTGTCAGGAGGCTAAGGCACTGAGCGGTCAGAGTCCTTGAGGAGCTGAGGAGAATAGGACCACATGGAATAGGGAGCATGGAGGGCTTGGGAGTGTGGAGAAGCCAGCACAGACCCTTGGATGCCCTCTGTGTCCTGGGAAACAACCCATGGAAGCAAGCCACCTCCCTAGGAAGCAAGAGCTACAGGAACTTGGCATTAGAAGAACCTTCTGCTATATACTGTGAGTAGGAGGCTGAGGCAGGTTCTCCTCCAGGAACCCCTCTTCCCCTATTCTTAAGTCAGAGGCACCTTTCCCTGGGCCCTCACAATACCAGGCACTGAGGACCAAGGCCTCAGTACCGACTCTGATGAGACAGCCAGAAGTAGCTCAACAGAAGCTGGAGTTAGAACTGCTCTCCTCCGCCCGGGGTCAGGTTTGCAGGAGTGAAGGCTGGGAACCTGCAGGGCAGTGAGAGGCAGCCCCAGCTCCCTCCCAGGACCCCATGGCTTCTGCCTTGGGAGCATACCTGGGCTTGCTCATCAGGACCCTGTTGCTTGGCCCAGTTCTCATGGGAGTCAGTAGAGCACCAGCTGCTATAGCACTCCCACTGCTTAGGAACTTCTGCTTCTTAGCCTTACCCCCCAACCAGCTGTTCCATGGCACAGATCCCAGCTAACATACGAGTCCAAGTTCACCATACTCTAGGTGATTTGGAGGGGGCCATGCCCTGTGGGAGTCAGATGATCAGCTGGGCTGGCTCCCCCTACCCTCAAGCCGCTTGCCCAGATTCTACTCCTCTCCTCTGGCCTGGGCAGCTAAGGTGGTGGAATGCCCTGATGCTGGGTCCCACCCAAGTTATAACCAATGCAGATAGAGAAGAAGCTTGCCTGAGCTCAGGCAAGGGTCCAAATCCAGAGTGTGGGGTGGGCAGAGCAGGACGAGGGATTAGGCTTGGGCTGGTCTCTTCACAAGCAGCAGAAGCTCTCTGAAAGCCAACGCAGGGCAAAACATGGTGATCAAGGTCCAGGGAACCTCCCCCAGAACTCCATGTCTTCTCCCTGACCCTGATACCTGGCTCTAAGATGCCCTTGCCTCACCCATGGATGACCTTCATCAAGCACCACCGACTGGCGGGCTCAAGGACTTCCAAGTGTTCCCCTTGTCACATCCCTACTACCATTTCATAAACACAAATGTTTTGATCCCATAAGTTTGGAATCTAATACTTTCTTTGAATCATCTAAAGATTTTTATATATTTATTTGAGAGAGAGAGAGCACGAGCAGAGGCAGAGGGACTCCCCACCGAGCAGGGAGCCTGATGCGGGGCTCGAACCCAGGACCGTGGGACCCCAGGACCGACCCCAAGCCAAAGGCAGACACTTAACCAACTGAGCCACCTAGGCACCCCTCTTTGAATCATCTAAATGGCAGGCAGTCCAGAGGTGCCTGGGTGGCTCAGTTGGTTAAGC